ACACTGACAAACATCACTAAGGCTTAGGGCTGGGCGATTATTCAATATGGTTATTTATTTTCTTTCAATAAAACCATATTGTGATTGAATCATATATCGTTTTACTCAATTACTTTGTCTATTCTGATCAAGAACATACAAACTTAAATTGATCAGAATTCTGCTGATGGAAAAACCCCAGTAGTTAAATCAAACTATTGTCTTGATCTGATTACTCTGATGTAATGCATGTAAACAGTGTATAGCTGGAGATATTTATTGATTTCTCTCTATTTTTTCACTTGAAACTATTACTTTCATTCATTCATTTTGCACTGAAGTTCATTATAAAATGAGTCTGCACTTTTCATTTGTCAAGTATTTATTTCACACAGGAATATACAAAAATAGACTTTACCATGTGGTTATTTCGACCACTATTCATTTATTAATTGAATTACCAGAAACATTTCTTTATCGTGATGTATATTGTTATCGAGATATGAAATGACATATCGGAATAGAAGATTTTGGCCATATCACCCAGCCCTTCTAAGGCTAACTTGGATATTTGTACTTATTTAGCTTTTCTACTGCTAGCATTACAATCCTACAGCGACTGATAGAAGCAGATTTGACCACTGCTGTCACTGTGGCTTCTAATAAAATGTTTCTTCTTGCAGTTGCAGGACAGCCATTAGAACATTATATCACGACGTCCTACTGCTTTTGTAGACGTCCTTTTGAACTTGTACTGCATGATGACATCATTCGCATGAATCACTCCTCTGCGATACCCGCCCTTGTATTACTGAGGTGTTGTGATATAAAAATAAAAAATTATATTTCTTCCTGATTCCTCTATAATATCCTGGGCCTCATTGTGTTCATGAATTTCCCGGAAATCACAAACAGCCAGGCTGGTTCTCTTTGGGAGATGATGCTACACAGATACATTTTGACCGCTGACAACATGAGTCATGATGGGATATCAGATGAGGTTTCAGATAATATGTATCCTTCAGCCCACAGCCTCTGTAACCACGGCTTCTCATTCTGTACTCGCTGTTCTGACCAGTTTTTGGCTTTAGTGTGTTCTATTTATTATTTTTTGCACTGCCAATACGCCTACTAATTAAGCTTCCTGTCAGCGAGATTTCTTTAGGAGACTTTCTTCCCATAATGCAAGGCCAAAAACAGAATGACGATATCACTTATTTCACAATAAAAAATTAACCATTTGAATCCACGGAGTGAAGTCGTGATTAATCGTGAAGGTCTTTGTGTTGTTACCAGTCAGGGTCAGAGGTCAGCTACATAAGCTATTGTCACAGAGGAACTGTAACATCTCATTTACTCAAAACACATGACTGAGTGTGTTTCTCTTTACCACCAGTGTGTTGGATGTCACATCCTTGAATGCACAGGTTTTATTTTGATTTATTTTGGCTTCTTGTCTTTGTCTTAATGGGCCAATCCGGTCACTATAGTTACTTTAGTGTTGTACAGGTGTTCTCAAAAAAATTAAAGGAATCTAAATTAAAATAGTTTGGGAGTTTCTAAACCATTTCTGGCTTTGTCTGAATGCAGTGGGTGTCTTCCAAAGAGCATGTAAGCATAAAGAGCAGACGCTGACTTGTGTGTGATACCAGCCTTCATCAATAATGCATGAAAACAGGAAACTGAGATAAGACGGGCTGCAGTCTGGACATGACATTTAACCAGCGTGATGTATTAAACACTGACAGACAGTTTACTGATAAACAGATAAATGATCCTGTTAGCTAATTGTACAACTTTTAAGCTTGATATGATGTTGTCTGTTTATAAAAATAAAACTGTGTTAATTTCTATTGTTTGCTCAATGTCAGAGGGGCTTATATCTCTACATCTTACCAGGATATTTCTAATTGTAATGAACACGGTTATTCTTTTTTCCTTGTGAAGGAGGTCTCATCTGCACCTTCTCCAAGTCTCGACTGTAGCACGCTATAACAAGCTGTCTATATGCCAACCTCAGGCTCCAGACTAGAGCCAACCCTGCACCCTGCAGCGCCTCTGGAGAGACAAACACAAAGACTGACTGTTCTTTCATCTCTTTTTTTACATAAAGGTTCAGTGCTTGTCTTAACCCCACAGGGTCCAAGGCTGGCCTTTTATTCATGGTTGAATAGGTTGCGTTTGGTTCGTTAAGCAGCGCTGTCTGCTGTGCTGTGCTGTGATGAATATAAGTACATCATGAGATGACTAATGAAAATTTAGATTTTTAGCAGTTTTTAGTAGAGCTGCAACGATCAGTCGATTAATCATTTAATTGATCAACAAAAAAATGAATCGGCAACTTTTTAGGTCACATTTGAAGCAAAAATACAGAATATCTGCTGGTTCAAGCTTGTCCAGTGTGAGGATTGTCTGCTTTTCTTTTTCTTAAACTTGTTATCTTTGGGTTTTTTGACAGCTGGACTGACAAACCAAGCTATTAGAAGATGTCAAGTTGGGTTTCCAGCATATTATCATAACCTCTGTGTGTTGTGACAGAGAAACTGCTGGGTCAGTCAGGGTCGCTGAGCTGCTCAGTCAAGATATAAATAGCAGTTCTTGTAGTGATTACAGCTCCCAGATGATTAATAGTGTAGATTCCTAAAACTCACGGCTCCTCCTCCCACTCACTTCATCTATATTGCATAAGTACAAGACATCCCAGCAGCATTTGACTCTCGTCTGCTGAGCTAATAACTTCTTATGAAAATTTCTCAGCAGCACATGCTTTTTTAAGAAGCCATTTTCTCCACATGAACAACTTCTCCACACAGAAGAAGAATAATCCCTGCACCATCTAGTGGCCAATGTCTTCACTTTACATGCCAGCCAGAGTCGTGTCATGCCACAGAGACAAATTGTGTGACCCCACCATGATGCAGTCATAACTAAATCAAAGCTCAAATCAATGTAATAATGTGATTAGCACACAGAGCCACACTCCAAATTAATTGAATTAATTGAATGTGACTTTTAATTTAGATCCTGAAAGAGAATTTATGACTGTGGCGAAAAGATTGACACATTATTCAGAGGCTGTAATTGACAGAGTGCTCGTTAAAACATTACAGATGGTGTAATTCAAAGATGTGACCGGGTGTGTCCCATCCGTTTCAGGAAGCAGGGCAATTTGTTTAATCGTTTATTAGTGCAGCAGTGTGAGGAAGAGAATACATGAGAAGTAGAGTGTGTGTAAAGTAAAGCCTCTTTGAGTTGTTTCAATCACTTTAGTACCTCTTCTATCAAATCACTCAGTTAAAATGTACATAAAAAGGAAGCAAGAGAAACCTGATATCTAGATGAAAGTCTATTCAGCCACAGAACAGCACACAAGTTAAATAAGCATCTAAAATGTCTCAGTAAATTCAGCAGACCATATTGACTACTCGTGTTTCCTGTCTGATCCCTATTGTTCGTATTAAGAAGCAATAAGCCCTAAAGTGTGGCCAGGATTCTGACCCGGCCTTCAGTCAGCTGTTGGTTTCTCATTAACTGGCTACACTGTGTAAGCCGTCGCTGCACACAGCTACGGTAAGGCCTCACTGCTCAGTCAATAGACCTGGATGGAACAAGTTGCCAGTTAATCCCGATCGTCTGTTGCTGCTCAGTCAAAGCTGACAATTTCATGGTTCGGATCCAAGAGGAGACTCTTGTTTAAGGGATGAGGTCTGGTCAGGGATGCATCCACACCTGCACCCTCCCCGGAGAGGTTTACCAGGTACAGCAGCTGCTCGGTTCACACCAAGTTAAAATCAGCCTCATTCTGTCAGAGGAGAAGGCTGTTGAATCTGTTTGAAAAGTGTTTCTTTTTCAGTTTGTGAGCAGGTCTCGTTGTGAAACTGGTCAACCTCAATCTGTCATTTTTACCAGCTATTTGATTTATCGGGTGTACGGCGCTCTCTGTGTCTCTTAGTAGGTCAAGCTGATTCTGTGATGAGAATCGTTGTTTGAAGGGCTTTGTGGTCCAAAATGATCGTGCACCAACACAGTGATTGGAACTTGATCCATTCATATTTTATTGAACAGGGTGAAAATTTTGTGATTATAAAGACATTAGCTGTAAAAGTAGCAATAAAAAAAGTGTAAAATACTCCATTACAAGTAAAAGTACATAAGCATTACAAACAAAATGTACTTAAAGTATCAACAGTAAATGTACCTGCCATGCTTATACAATGCTTCTATTATTACATATTATACTATTTGATTACAATTATAGTTGCATTCATGTCTGAGCACCATTGTAATGTTGTCGCTGGTGGAGGTGAAACTAATTTGAATTACTTTATAAACTGATGGGTAGTTTAATCTGTAGAAATGCATTATGTTGTACATACTGATCATATGTTTTGTGTGTAAAATGTTATTATGCAAAGCAACTCGCTGTCAAATCAATGTAGTGGAGTAAAAGGTAGGATATTTCCCACTGATATGTAGAAGTATAAAGTAGAAGTACAGTACGTAAGTACATTTACATTCCACCACTGGATATTTCTTCACTTAAATGTTGGAGAGTCTGAGAGACTGAAATAATAAAAGTTAAATGTGAAAGGTTCATAATGGTGCAAATCCTTCCTTTGGTTGCTAAGGCAATAAATCCTTGAGACAATGGCTTTATTGTCATGAACGACGTCAATGTTTTTTTTCTCTATTTACCACCAAGGCCTTTGCTAAGTACATATCTTTAAGACTCTTTACTTCAGAGTTACAAGCCCTTATTATCAGGCCTTATGTGTGCTGTAGGTCATAGCTGTGAAAACATTACCAACACACAAGACCTGATGTCATTCTGCCTTGTTATGATGAATAGCTCGCATTCTGTGTCACAAGCTTTGCACTTCCTCTTTTCATTTCCCTGCAGATGACTGAGGGCAGACTGTGCCAAGTGCAGCTGCTGGATGACAGGAAGCTAGAGCTGCTGGTTCAGGTATGACTGCTCCCGATATGAAGCGACGATAGTCGATGCTTTTATAATAACGATTGATCAAATGGCTTTCTGTAATGTGAAAGGGGTTTCTGGCAGTAATGAACCCACAAAAAAATGATCCGACTCTGCAGTTCCCCTCAATGAGCATCCTTCAGCTCATCGTTTCGTTTGTGTGTTTTGGTTTACTGTGTTTTTAAGTTGTTTTCTTTACTTTACACTACTTGCTCAGCACCAAACTAAAGGCAGATATTCAGCGAACATAGTGGAGCATTTGGCAGTGTATGAGCCAGATAATTCCCTCAAGAGTTGGTGGCAAGCAAACCAGAGCTAAAAGAAGAGTTTCTTCATCAGGTGGTCAGAAACCACGACTCCAAATAAATCCAAATGTTGCTCTGTGTATCTGCTAGGCGTGTACATAAGCTGCTGCTTTGCTAAGAAGTTCTTTACTTAAGAGATTATGTCAGTGTTGTGCTCACATCTTGTTTCCTCTGCCCCCAGGTGAGCTGTAATTGTAGGTTAAAAAAAAAAAAAGTTCATGTCATAGATGTGTTTCTGTCATGTAATGATACACTGTATATGGCATGCTTTCAGTGGTACAACATTTGTAAAAAAGGTTAAAAGGGAGGTTGGTGAGTAGGAAGACCTTCCCTGGGTTAAGTCCCTGAGTCTGTTCGCTGTTGAAGTGTCCTTGAGCACACTATATCCTCACTCACTGCTACTGTCTGCGCTCTAATTGATCTTGCAGTCTTTGCCTCTCTTCGGAGGGAAGGAAAATAATAACCTCAAGGATCTCTGACACATGTATCAGTTATTTTACAATGGATGTCTAATGTACCTAATCTATTGCTAACAACTAAATCTAAACCTTCTCCCACAGCCTAAACTGCTGTCCTACGAACTCCTCGACTTGGTTTCCTCCCACTTCAACCTCAAAGAGAAGGAATTCTTTGGAATTGCATTTTTTGATGACCAGTATGTAAATTGTTGAGTTTATTTATTTTCAATGGTCTGACTATTTACACAATGTCCATACACGAGTGTGTGCAAAATGCAGCTTCCTGATGCTTCAGTCTGTTTGCTTTTCGCAGTGGTCGGCGTAAGTGGTTGCAGATGGACCGCAGAGTTCTTGAACATGACTTTTTGAAGAAGTCCGGGCCTGTTGCCCTAAACTTCCTGGTCAGGTAATAATACATTTTTCTCATGCAAATCATAAGCTCTCCCGCAGGAAGCACTACTTTATTGACATGGAGCGTAGCCGTGAACAAAATGTCCCGGGTGGTTCCTATCCTGATTGTCTTATGTGTATATATATGTAAATATTAGTGCTGGGCAAGTTAACGCGTTAATTTCGCGGAACCAAATGTTATTGCCCTTTTGTTCATATAGCAGTACTTTTAAAATAAAAGTGCGCAATACACTACTTTTGAATTCATTATTGAACTTTGCCATAACAATGCGATTAATCACGATTAAATATTTTAATCGTTGTCCAGCACTAGTAAATATACAGTATATATTATCAACTAGTGTCTGACTGCTTTGAAGCTTTGACTGTCAAGTGTTTTTTTATTTTTTGCACATCATCATAAACCATCACTCTAACCAACACCTCACACTGCCAACAAAAACAATCACTATAGGCAGAGAAAAGTGCAGATTGACACAGTGACAAGTAATCTCTGTTTAACTTTTAAATTGTTGTGTGTGCATTTGCTTTTATCCTTCACAGGTTTTATGTAGAAAACATTACACAGCTTAAGGACATCATAACGGTGGAGTTATTCTTCCTGAATGCAAAGTCTGCCGTCTACAATGTAAGTGTTTTTTCTCTTGTGTTCGAAGCAATGAAAAATGATGCGGCAAGTTGTTTTTGTTCTCAACAGCTTCCTGATGATTCACTGTCTCTGGACCCCTTGCAGCTTAGCAGACAATGGCCGCGGGGCACAGTTTTCCCACTCTGCTGGCTGGAATGTAAAGTAGATAGTCTAAGAAAAACAAAAAAAAGCTAAACATAAGGGTTCATCCTGAGAATAAGCAGAGGTTATTGGAGGGCAACATATTCTATATTTGGACCTAGAAAGGTTTCTCCACATGGACCGCATTTTCTGCGTCATATGTATTTCTTATATTGATCTTTTATGTCTCTCAGGGGTTTATAGAAGTGGAAAGTGACAACGTCTTCAAATTAGCTGCAAATGCTCTGCAGGTTAGTGCTTTTCATAGGCTCATAGACAAACATTAATTACCACATCTAGAATCCCTTTAAAGCACGTCATCTGATAACATGTATTATTTTCATCATTAGGAGGCGAAGGGAGACTACACAAGGTAAGTAAGTGTATATTATCAGCTGGGTAAGAAGTATTTAACAGCAGCAGGGCAAGTTAATGGTGAGCTTTCAGTGAAGGCATTCATTAGGTCACAAGAAAAATCAATGGCAGTGTTATGTGAGGTTTACCACGGACTGCTGTAAAGCTTGCACCATGCAACTAATGAGTCTCATAGTGCTGATAGAAGGCAAGTCTTGCAGAGCAGAGACTCCTTAGAGAGCAACTGGTATCTGCCTTATGGTATTATACATGTAGTGATCAGAGGGAATACTGCAGGCCTTTGTGCAGGTCACCACCTGACTTTGACCAGCTGATGAAGTAAGACAGTTTAGTAATACTGACATCTTTGTTCACATGAGTAAATTCTTTATTACGATAGCTGCCGGGGCTGTGACTACCAGCCAGGACACTGAGGCCGAGTGGCCGGAGTTTATAATCTGCAATTGAATTTGAGAGCTGGTAGGCCAAAGAAAATACAGGGTTCAGTATCGTCAAACCGGAATTTTATTCCAGCAGTGTGGAGAATGCAATATGCACAAAATGTAATTGTGGTTGGAGTAGTATTCAGGTCATTTACTTATATAAAGGTTGTAATAGCTCAGTGTAAAAATACTCTGTATTATCAACAAAATGCACTTATAGCATCAAACCGTACAAGTACTCCTTTTGAAATGGTGTGGAATAAAAGTATAAAGTTGCAGAACATTTTAAATATGAAAGTACTTCAAAATTGTACTTAAAGACAGTAATTACTTACCACTGATACTTAATTTACTTTAAAAAAAAAAAGGAAACATCCAAGAAGTGAAGTAGAGATAGATTGTCCACTCAACTTCCAAAACTGTTATTATAACTGTTTATTTCTGTTTCAGTGATGAAAACACTCGAGCTGACTTGAAGAAACTACCAACTCTTCCCACCAAAGTCCTCAAGGAACACCCATCACTTGCATACTGGTACGCTCACAGGAAAGCTTATTTCAGATCTTGCCTACGCTAACGCCTAAAACAAACTGATTTCACTGATTTAAGTACGTTTTTAAACGCAGCTAAACTACATCCATACAGAATGGTTTGATCTGATGCTGTACATCAGTTTAAAGTGTAAAATGGTGTCTTCTTTGTTTGACACTGCAGTGAGGATCGAGTAATTGAACATTATAAACAGCTGAAAGGAGTCTCCCGAGGACAGGCCATTGTGAAGTAAGTGTGGAAGAAAATGATTCAACACTTGTAATTAGACGATGAACGCTATTAAGCTTTAAGTAGATTCATCTACCTCTCACGTCTATTAGCCCTCCCTTCTCTCCGTCTCTCTCTGGCACTCCTTTTCTCATCATCTGAAAGAAATCAATAGCTCCTCCTGAGTCGGTGAATCACACTGATTCATCGGACAGGGGTCACATTTCTGCCTTTTCACATTTCCAAGGTAAACCACATGCAGATGTAAAAAAAAATAAGCAGTAATAAAAATTGTTTTTGTTCTAGGTATTTGACATTAGTGGAATCTTTGCCCACGTATGGCGTGCATTATTATGAAGTAAAGGTAAGTCTTCTGCTGTGATTAATGGGAAATGACAGCTGTTGTGCCTGAAACTGAGTCAACCATCAAGCTGTGTTCTGGCCTCACAGGATAAACAAGGGATCCCGTGGTGGCTTGGAATCAGCTATAAGGGCATCGGCCAGTATGACCTGCAGGATAAATTAAAACCTCGAAAGGTAAACATGTCCTGCCGCTGCCCCTCTCAAATGTCTGTTTCTATTTCTCTGCTTCACTAATCCGACTGTGGACATGATAGCGCAGGGGTAAGGATTGCTGCTGTTGCACATAGCGTGGTGATTCACCAGCTCACATTCGTGCATCATCTATTTCACTCCAACAAAGGCTGGGCTTCAGCTGCTGCAGCAAACGAGGCCAGACTTGTACAATTGGAGCAAAATCTCAGTCTAGAGAGCTCTTTCCATAATGAAGCTAGTGAGTTTTGTATGTGTGAGAATCAAACATACAATATGAACCTGCTTTTCTTGTTTCATTGGTGTTGCTTTAGCGTGTAATTTGATTGGAGAAACACCCATGTGAGTGAGCCGTCAGCTATGTGGTCCAGTCTGTGTCAGTCGTTCAGTGCAATGCTGTTATAGACGAGGAGGAGAGTTCAAAACAATTCACATTCATTTACCGGCACCGTCTTCCCGTTATAGCCTTGGTAATCGCTCGATGTGGTGCAATCCATCTCTGCCAGCTGTGTTCCAAAGATTGTGCAAGCAGCCGGCCATGTGCAGGCAGCGGTGTGTAGCTGGAGAGGAGAAAAGGGAGTGAGCTGGTGATGTCACAGATAAAGGGGCTGGATTTGGAGCGTTATAATGCATGTTCTGAGAATACCTGAGGAGACAAGTCAGGAGCTGACAGGAGAAGGAACAAAGTGTGTTTGTGTTGACAGCAAAGTTAGGGAGGATTTAATAACTTAAGAATTGGGACCTGTGAACATCCATTGTACCGGTAAGTCTGGATACTGCACTTCTTTGTCTGGTTGGAACAAAGTGTGTCTACAGTGTTGCACGTAGACTGGGCTTTTGTTCTTTGAATAACATTTTGCATGTTCATCTAAAATATTGAACAACAATCAGTCTCTGAAATGATCTATATATTTTTTGCCGTAAAACTGTGTGGATGATTGCCTCTCCATTCTAATGTTAACAATGTAGCAGCATTGCAATAGAAAATACCCCCCAAAGCAACCACAAGTAGTATAGTTTACTGTGTGCTGTCTGTGTCTCATTCGCATCTTGTCCAGACACACAGTGAGTCACTGACCCAAATAGATTGTTCATATCTGGCTGTTGTCAGTGAGCACCTGGGTGATACGTGGATGGATGTGCTGAACCGTGGAAAGATGAGTCTTTGTCTAATGTTCCCTTGTGGTATTCTTAGTTTTCCAACACCTGCATTATTGCAGATCTGGCATGCTGTGCGGCCCAGACTTTAATGACAGTTCATGTTACTGTCTGGCTTTTTTTAATGACGGGTTAACCAAAACACCTGCTCTACTAATCTTTTTTTTTTTTTCTAATTGTTTATGTGATGTCACTCATGACGAGCAGATGGGTTTTGGGAATAAAACGTGAACCTCCACCTGAATTGAAGTCACAAATGGACACATTTTAAAGCCATTATGTCTGGCCTTGCACCAACGAGCATCTCTCTGCATTTCAGCTTGTGGATTACAGAGCATAATATCCATTTCCCTTATCAGATATCTCTTATTTCTACCTCTAGCTTTACCAGTGGAAGCAGCTGGAAAACTTGTACTTCCGGGAGAAGAAATTTGCTGTAGAAGTTAACGATCCACACAGGTGAGCAGCAGGAGATTCTTCTTTCTAAACTGGATACAAGGAGATCCAAAGAGATCGTTTATATCACTGTTGTTTCTATTTGAATTGTGATTTAAGTAAAACTCCATCCCAACCTATGATTCATTTTTGGGGGTGTTTCTTGCAACAGGAGAGCAGTAACCAAACGCACCTTTGGGCAGACTGGCCTACTCATCCACACGTGGTATGCCAGCCATTCTTTAATCAAAACCATTTGGGTCATGGCTATTAGCCAACACCAGTTCTACTTGGACAGAAAGCAAACCAAAGTAAGTGTCGGTCAGAACTACATCACTTTTTAATACTTGCCTTTAATACCATCCTCACTGATGTTTGTTGTACATTTTTTCTTGTGAATTCTTTTAGACTAAATTAGGAACAGTAAGAACTGTGGGGGAAATTGCCATGGATCTCACGGAGCACGGAGGAGCAAAAATAAACAGACTGGGAGACGCAGGCCTGAAGAATAACTTCATAACAGCCAGCAATGGGAGTCTGGTGTCCACAGGTTGGTTATTATTATTTCATTTCATGAAGCACGTGTCTTAAGTTCGTATGTTTTCTTAAGTTATCATTTCAGATCATATTCATGCTCCCAAATTTCTCTGACTAAGCTATGAAGGATAAACACTGAGCTGTTTGAGTATCAAACTGTGTCAGCTCACAGTATGTCGTTTTTTAGATGCATGCTATGTTGGCAAGAACAGTAAGACTAATGTTTCACAGGTTCTGCAGACTCTGAAATGAGTGAAGAACAGAAGAAAGAGAAACTCTCTGAGCTGAGAAAAAAAGAGCAGGAGATCCAAGATATTTTGGCCAAGAAAACAAAAGAACTGAAGAAGATTTGCCTGAGAGAGGCGGTGAGAAAATATTTTTAATGTCATTTCTTCTGCACTGGTACTATATTTTGCAAGGCACATGTGTGTTTTTTCCCCCTCTAAACAGCCAACTCCAACTCCTATTATTAAGATTGATGGTTTCTGCGGTTCAGTTCAGTTCAAAGTGTTGAGGGGACTTGTTGTTTTGTGTTTTCAGGAGCTTACTGGCAAGCTGCCAAAAGAGTATCCCCTCTCTTCAGGTGAAAGAGCGCCACACGTCAGACGACGAGTTGGCACTACTTTCAAGTTGGATGACCTTTTCCCCTACAATGAGGTCTGTATTTAACTGTTTGTCTCTATCAAGTATTTATCAAGAGAGAGAGAGAGAGAGAGAGAGAGAGAGAGAGAGAGAGAGAGAAATTTGAGTCAGTCCGACACTGGCCTACAGTACAGTACTGATGACGTGTTGTGTTTTGCTGCAGGATCCCTTCCTGAGGAACCTGGAGAGCAGATTTGCCCTGCAGCAAAAGATTGTGGAGGCGGCTAAGAAGCTTGCAAATGAGCCAGAACTGTGCAAAACTGTAAAGAAGAAGAGGAGGAGAAACTGTTTGGATGCCATGCAAAAACTCCAGCAGATAGAGGATGAGATGAACCAGTACAGAATCAAGAAGGGTAAAAAGCCCACCCAGCGGGCCTCAGTCATCATTGCAGGTATGATGCATGTTAATCAGTGTTACTGGATTATCATTTAGATATATTTTAACAGTAAACATGGAGTTACTTTCTCTTTTCTCCAGATGAACTTGTTCGTTCAGACTGCAGCTCTCTGTCTAGTCTCCCGCTGGATGATGGTGAGTCAGACAACATACATTCTGTTGCATTAAATTCAACTGACCTTTATCATTTTGACAACTTTTGAAAGAGAGGGTGTCAGTTTTGTCACCGTGGGTTGCCTTTGTATTCAGATGACTCAGACGGTGTCAGTCAGAGGCCACGGTCACGGTCGGTTCAAGGTTCCCCTCAGCTCAGTCCGATGCGATCGCTGGGACCCGAATATGATGCCGAACGACGGGGATGTCCGAGGGAAAATCACCAGAACAAGAACCACAGCAGGTGCGGAAAAAATATTTCCTTCCTCTGTCTAGTGTGAGGTATTTCACAACTTTTGATTTTGTTGAAAAGCTGTTCTTGAAATGAAAAAAAATATGTAATGATTTGGCAGAGACTTTAATATTTGCTGTGTCATGCATGCTCATTCCTTTCCTCGCATCTCATCCCTTTTTTTCTTTTATATTTTGGATCCTCTCCACACCCTTTTAGATTAGCTTTTGAAGGCCAGGATACTTCCCACTGCTGCCAGAACCCAAGAGAGGTCTCCTCCACCCACAGTAGTCCCTATAAAACCCTTCCCAGACCTCCTAGAGATCCACGCAGCATGCCTCCCACCCCGATTATGACCCGCAATGCATACAGCAGCAGCCAGCTCAGGTGAGATCTGCTACATCTTTCCTTTTTTTTCAACAAACACTTCCCCTCAACCTAATCCCCACTTCTCTCAAACCCCCTAACTTTTAACCAAAGCTGTCATACAAATCCCTAGCCTTTATTTTAACTAAGAAATCTGGAAAAATCATCCCGTAATTTATTTTTAGGAGACGGTTTAAAAGTTGTGTCCCTTCTCCAGGTCGGAGGGGTCTCCTCATTGCTTCAGGCATCGCAGCGGAAGTCTAGAGTCGCAGCCCCGGCTAAGAAAAGACACAGACTCAGAGAAGCCCGTCTTTGTCTTGTCACCAGCCCACCGCAGCAACAGCACAGAGGTGTTAGAGGACTGCTCTTCTTACACCAGCCAGTCCAGTCTTGACTGCTGCGGGGCGGCCCACTCCCACTACAGTACGCTAGATTCCCGAACCTCAACCATGCATCGTCTCCACAGGAAGGTGGAAGTGTATGGAAATACTGGGAGTATGCCCAACTTGGTCCAGCACCATTCTGGTTGTAGTTATTCATGTGAGAACTCAGCACACTATGCACCCAGTGCCTACTACGTCACCGGCTTCCCCTGCCCGGACATAGAGCCTTACTCTAACGGTGCCTACGTGTATGAGAATGAAGTAGAAGGCCACTACAACGTCAACCCTTCCTACCAAATCAATGGGTATCATGGACATGACAGATTCAGGACCTACAGCAGTGACCGGGCAGATAGTCTTTCCCAGAATCCCTACGCAACTGTGAGGCCGCCGCGGAACAGAGAGAGGCCCAGAAATGAGCTGTTGGCCAAGAACATGCAGAAGGCCCTGGTGGCGGAGCATCTGAAAGGCTGGTACCACCGAAGCAGGGGCCCCAGGGAGGGAGGGAAGGGGGTGCTGTATGACTTCGACAGCGGCTCTCAGCTCAGTCTGGGCTACCAGACCATGCCAGCGGCGTTCAGCCACTCCAGCAGAACCACCTCCTTTTCATCAGGTGAGATGAAGTCCTTGAGCAGTTTGAAATAGTCAAATGTCTTGGCATAGGAAGCAAAATCTTATTTCACAACATTAGACAAACGCACTCCTCCACCATGCCTTAAAGAGCTGCTAATCCACCCAAAACTATTTTATTCAGGTAGGATTCAGTGGAGAGTTTGCCTTTGCTGTGCCCAAAGCTTTTCCGGGCTTAAAAAGAATAGAAGGAGACAATTAGCCACAGTTTGTGCCTCGAATATATTAATATTACGTTCACACACTCAGTCAATACAGTCACAGAGCAACATATCTTTGTTTCCTGAAAGAGAAATGCTTGGCGGTTGATTTACTGCTGATGTAAAGGTAATCCCAGAACCTCCGAACTCTTCAAACCATCTGGATTTAGAAAAACATATTGTGTCTGCAGCACATTAAAAATGACTTTTAACTGTTTCCCAAGTTGTGGAAATATTTCCTAAACCAGGTAACCAAAAATTACTTATCTACGTCCTCATTTCAATGTAGACAAATGTAACCGATGACATAAATGTTGGTTGAGCAAGGACATGTACCATTTCTGGTTATATTTCTGGTGTAATAATGAGATATGAGATGCACAAACTTGTACTTATAATTTGTTAAAATGGTATTAAAAGGTATAAATACATTTGAAAAAAAGGTTTTCAAGTTTGTAGGGCTATATAATCATACAATTGTGAAGTTTCTATGTAAAGTGGCAGAAAATGCACTGTAATAACATATTGCCATCATGTGAAGGGTCATGTGAAGGGTAACTCAGGAGTGTTTTCAACAACAATTACTACTGAGCTCCACACCAACAACAGCTGAGTGTGTTTGCCTTTGTCTTGTTTGCAGTGTCCTCAGTGGAAAGCACGGGTAACTGGCGAAACCAGCTGGCAGTCGGCCAGACAGATTACGATACACCCGACACACCTCAGTACACACACCCTGGAGCGCCTGCCTCTCCGTACAACCGCAGTCCCTCACACTGCAGGTGAGTGCTGCAGTTCACTAAATCTCCACACTCAGATGTTGCGGATGCAAGAGGAAGTGAGTCAGTCACAGACCACTGGGGGTTGTTTTCTCATTTGAATTATTAGTAGAATGTTAAATTAAAATGCTGATTGCTATTTTATGGGTACAATAATTAGCCTGCTCATGTCCTCTGTCGGTGCTCTATGGCAGGAACAGATGTCAGTGCCACTAATGTTTCCTGTAATGCATGTTGCAGTTTAAGTCTTTGTTCTGTGTGCTGCTCTGCAAAGAAGTTTTATCGTGTGTGACCTGAAACTATTGAGCTCATAAAACCCTAACCACGTGGACCATCTCTCTTTCTTCCTGCCTTTCTTCCTTCATTTCTTGACTTATGATTAATGCTCATGTGTGCAGATCTCCTCCAGAAAACAAAGTCTCTGACACAATGCCTAAAAAATCTGAGTCAGTTGAGGTGGTTGGCTCTGAGGCCACTAGTACAGATGAACCATCAGACAACCTTTCTAGCACTTAAGGGTGAGACCAAACACAGTGGGCTGCTTTGTGTCGTGTTGACAGTCATCTCCATTTTGACATCCCGTCTTCATTCGTATCAAACATCCATCTTATTGTGATCTGTCGCTGATTTTTTTTTTCTGTCAGTCATTATGTTGATGATTTTGCACCTGACCTGCAGCAACTGTCTAATCATGTGATGAAAAGAAAGTAACAAGACTAAAAGTTGACAGCAGGCTAGCGGCTAAATGCTAACATTAGCATGCTAACATGCTCACAATGACTATGTTAAAATACGGATAGTTAGCATGTGCAATGTTAGCATGCTAACATTTGCTCATGAGCACTGAACACAAAATACAGGTGAGACTGATGGGGAATGTCATTAGTTTCGCAGATATTTGGTCGTCAAATCAAATATTGGACAGATAAAAGTTTTGACGTGATTGTTATATCAACTCAACCTGAAGGGTCCCAACATGAATGCCAATGAAATTTCAACCTCTTGGTGGCACGAGAGGAAAAGTCAGAGGCTCACCAAAGATGGAAGGCTTCATCCTCTACGGACAATGGATATCTGAATCAAATTTCATGGCAACCCAATCTATAGTTGAGCTATTTCAGTTTCGACAAAAGTCCTACTTTTTAGCTGCTAGCATGTCTAAAAAAATGAGCTGTTTCCATTTACTCCATGAAGCCGAAGTCACGTTGCATGCCTTTTCAGTGTACTGCATTTCCATTTTCCATTCCCCACTGTTTTTTCCACAAAGTTCAATCAATTGTTCTTTTGAACTACAATATATTTAACATTATTTTCTCACTGCCTCTACAGATTTCACCTGGATGGAAGCTACATGAGCATCCACTGAAGAGGACCAAACCTAACTTTGGCACAAATAAAGCCATGGCCAGCAGCACATGAAGGGGATGAAGTTGAAACAGAGGCTGTACACAAACTGTTGTTGCTGCCATAACCTTTTCTTAGGAGATGTTTTATCAGTTAGGTTATGGCGGAGTCTACGTGTACGCTGTCCTCGTGTTAAAGTAACCTCTGAACACAGTGATGACACTCTTGAATGACTTTCCCATGTGCCTTGGATTGGACGAATTATACAGGCAGATGAGAATGTGTCATGGAACTTTAAGATGTTGCACAACCACACTGGATTCAAACCCTATTGTGTTTTAAAGATGGAAAAAAAGAGGCAACGTGTTTTTAATGAAATCCAACTCTGTGTATTTTAAAAGGAACTATCTTCTGCCTTATACAAAACAGTAGGTCATAGAATAAAAATGATGTTCACCACTTTCATCTCAGTAAAGTATGATCAAAAATAGTCTTAAATATAACATCCACATTGAAAACAGAGCTTGACCATGTTCACATAGAGCAGACTATTCGGTGAATTTCCATTTCTTTCTTTTTTTAAACTTTCAATCAGAATGTATTATGTCAATATTGTTTATAGAACCATTTGTCTTTGTTGGTGGCGTAATGTGTTTTAAAATGCATGGTGAGAATATCTTTTTTTTTTAAATATAAGAACTTCTTTTTATACTAACAGAAGACCACTGCCGTGAAAACCATAATATTCATGTCTCGTAGTTTGTTTTCTCACATATTTGTACAGGTCAGTGTGTAGTTATATGTTAGATGTTGTCATAAAATATTTTCCACTGGGAACAAGGATGTGAATAAATACATGTGTGACACATAGACGGCTGTTGTCACTTTCTGTGTGGCTGGTAAACAACCGGTTCGGGTTCTGTTGAGTTTGTGATTACGCCTTAAAGGAGTAGTTCACCATTTTGGTAGTCTGTATTTGCTTCCATACTGGAATAAGATGATGAGTTTACCAACGCTCTGTCGTTAAAACATAGAGCCGCAGCCGGTTAGCTTAGCGTAGCATAAATACTATAAAAAGGGGAAGCATCCGGCCTGGCTCTGTCCAAAGGTAAACATATTTTCCAAAACTATTCCTATAAGGTTTTTATTTCTTCTTTAAATAAAATCTTAATTTTCAGGGTGCCAACAAATTCCTGCTAGCTTTGTACCAAACTGTGCCTTGAGTAATGATCTAAAAAAAAAACCTACAATTGATGGTATCGATTTCCCTGATGACAAATTACTTCTTAATTACCTCTCCTGAGCCGATCTCATGTGTTTGTTGTGCAGCAAAGGAGACTTTACACGCCGTCACCCCACCGGTCCAGCAGTCCAGCTGCTGCTGTCAATCCTGCACTCTCCTTTGCCTGAAGCAACTGTCATCCCAAAAGATCCTGATGACCAGGCCAGCTGGGTTTAGGGGGCTGAAAGAAGAATGTTAGCATGTCCTGCTTGTGGTGTAGCTTAAATATCTTCCATGCAGTTCACAGGGTTTAATTTTAGACTCCACATGCGGCAGAGCCAAACGGTGCCCAGCTGAAGTCAAAGTCAGAGGCTTCTCAGTTTGCTCTATCCTGAGTCATAGATTGGAGAGAATTTATCCCACCTTTTGATATCAACAGAAGAAAGAAGTTAGGCAAATATGTCAAACAGTAATGACCTCGAGGATCTCAAAGAAGAGGATATTGACGAGGATGAAATCCTTGCTATGCTTTCACCGGAGGAGCTTACGGAGCTCCAGAGAGAGATGGATGTTATTATTGCCCCAGATGAGAGGGTACCTGTGGGACAGAGACAAAAGGACCAGACGGAGAAGCCTCCGACTGGGTCGTTCGACCACCGATCCCTGGTTGGTTACCTCCACTGGGAGAAAGAGTCCAACCGTATGCTTGAGGAAGAAAGAGTGCCTGTTACTCTGCTGCCCAGTGAGGTAAGAGGTCAAACTCTCACATTTTTGGGCACAGATCAATTTAGAATAATATTATTTATTTACAAACCATAACCCTTTACTAGTGGAATGTTACAGGCAGCATTTAAACAAAACAATGTTTGGAAAAAGCACAATTCTAACCTTGGTCTGATGTTGGTTTTTTTCATCAGAACACTTTGAGGGAGGAAACTGAGAAGAACCCCAAAGAAGAAGATGTGGAATATGAAATGATAGAGGAAGGCATTGAGGAAGAAGCTGTTAATGGTACAGATGGAGAGGAAATTACAGAGATTATTGAGGAAATTATTGAAGAGGTTAATGAGAGGGATGAAAAAGACAAAGGGGTGGATGTGAAAGAGAAGGAAGGGTTAAAGTCACCTGTGAACACAGACAAACATGAAAATACTAACAAACATGTAGATTCTCCAGACACCAACACAGAAAAAGTACCAGAAAACAATACAGATGACAATCAGCCTGTTTCAGACACAAAGCAGAAGAGTGAGAGCGTAACCCCAAAACACAGCACATCACAAGTTGAAGAGAAAGAGGAAATTAAAACTACTGAGTCTTCGCTTCCCAAAGAGGCCTCAGAGCAGCCGGAGATAAAGGAAACCAATGATGAGCTCCCGCAGAAAGACGAGAGACAAATTAACAAGTTAAATATTCCAAAGCTGGCCTTCAATCATATAAAAATGACATCAAGACCCTCAGGAAATGAGACAAACTTGGAGTCGACACTGGACAAAATCCGCAACAACAACCCTTCTATCACTGAGGTCAACCTCAACAACATAGAAAACATTCCCAAAGAGATGCTGTTAGACTACGTCAACGCCTTGAAGAAGAACAAACATGTGAAAACCTTCAGCATAGCCAACACCGGTGTTGATGAAAACATAGCTTACAACCTAGCCAACATGTTACGAGAGAATCGCGGCATTGCGACTTTGAATATTGAGTCCAACTTCGTAACTGGAAAGGGCATCGTGGCCATCATCCGCTGCCTCCAATTCAATGAGACCCTCACAGAGCTGCGTTTCCACAACCAGAGGCACATGTTGGGTCACCACTCAGAGATGGAGATCTCACGCCTGCTCAAGGCCAACAACACCCTCCTGAAGATGGGCTACCATTTCGAGCAGCCGGGGCCCAGGATGGTGGTGACCAACCTGTTAACCAGGAATCTGGACCGCCAGAGGCAGCAGAGGAAGGAGGAGCAGAGGCAGCAGCAGGTGAAGGAGCAGAGGGAGCTGATGCAGATGTATGAGAAAAGTCTAAACCTGCCTCCTGGTTTACTTGAGATGCTCGGCTACATACCGCCTCTGGAGGACCTGCAGGAGCATGGGCTTGTCCCACCCTCGTCAGAACCGAGCACTGTACCGCAAACGCAACGGCAGACAGCGCGGCCAGAGCCTCAGAAGCAGCACAAACACAAGAGCACTCCCACGCAACCCAGTGCCGAACCAGCAAACGCATTGAGGGACGTCAAGCTGAAGAGGACTCCCAAGAAGCGCGACCCTTTTCTGGACCTGGACCCAAGGGATAACAGCCGACCAGAGAGAGCAAGTTTCCAACTGAGGAAGACTCCCAAAGTGAAGGATGTAGGCAATGGAGCATTGGGAGAGGAAAAAGCAAACCTGACTGACTTGATTAAGACTTTAAAGCCCGTCCCTCGCAGACGATTACCACCTAAGGTTGACGACACACCCCGCGATCAGCTCCTTGGTGCGATCAAAAAGAGCAGCGTGGCCTATCTCAAATCTGTGAGTATCCAAGAATTTGTACAGTGAGATCAATCAAGTTGGGATCCTGCGCTTACTAACATTTGAGAAGTTCTGGTTTTTTATTGACATAAAGGGTTACTATTGATGGTCTTGAAAGCTCTCAAATCACAAGAGCATGTATTGCATGTGAATGTATTAAATTATCTTACAGCTTATAAGGGGTTTTCTATAATACCTTTGCACCACTGCACTAGAAACCCAAGTCATCTTTTCCTTTCTCCTTTGTTGCTGCTTGCAGGTGCCGCTCCCTAAAGTCCTGGAATCAAGTGAAACGAGTCTCTTCTGAAGCTGCAGCTTCAGCTGTTTGTTCTCTTCTATGTTTATTTTACACCTATCCTCGAATCAACTGTGCAAAATAAGACTGAACTACACTTTCATTTTGCATAAAAATAATATTGTCTGGTTGTTGTTTAACTCTTGTGTTGTTCTCAAACTAAATGCTGTAGTCTTTAGGAAGTCGTAACAACAAAGGTATACAAATTAAGAACACCCTAAATTCAATTGACATTAAAATGTTTGACCTCTTTTGTCATTTGCTTTTGCCATTGATATATTTCTTAACATGGTGTGCTAAAATAGATTTTTAGAGTAGGTTTCATTAAATGCTAGATGATTTATTTTGGAACAAACCTGTTCCACATATTTGCATTTTGCTATAAAAAAAAACTTTGCCCAGGGATTCTTTGTCTTTCTTTTTTGTTTTGTTTTTATTATTAAAATGGAAAAGCTCTTCGTGCCAAACGTAATGGATCCCCAGGGAATCATTGCAGGTTCTGGCAGTTGCTTTTAGCCATTTCTCTTAAAGGTGCAGATATGAAAATAGACAAATTACTTAAAGGGAGATGACTCTGAATCCTGAAAAATTATGCCATGCGGATAATTAGTCAAACTGAATTGAACGGCGTGCACTATCCTGGAGGGGATATTCATTAGTTCACTATTCAGCCCGTTATGAATTGCTTTTTCATTTGTTTCAGGAGTAGCTTATGTTCACTACTTTGTTTTCAAAGAAAGATTTAACCCAAATAACACAAAAACTTTATTTTATAAATAATGAATGTCTATATATTCACACAGAGACGGAATTGGGAAATGACTGCAACATAAATTAGGTAAATATTTGTTTTATAGAGGACAGCCATGTTTTGCTTCCAGTTCTGTGATTCAATCATCACTTTTCAAGAATGAAAAAGTCACATAAAAACCAAAAATATATAATATAGCATCAATGTAACACACACTTTTTGAAGTGCCATTTGTGAGGGTAGCATGCACAAACTGCAGTTAATGTGCAGGTGTGGAGAAGTAAAAGGAAACAACAGATCTTCAGGAGTAACAGTAGAAAATGAACACTTATTACAGATTTCAGATTTGTTTTCTTACTAGAATAAGGGCTTTGATCCCAACAGTGAATGGGAAAATACTAGCATGATCATTTAATTAATTTAATTAGTAATTGTTACTTATTGCCAAAATGATGTTGGCTACTTTGTATCCTGTAGCCCATTTTATACATGTCTGCATGCTATATTATGAAAATAAAGATGTCAGAAATAACAAACATTTACATATCATGACATAAAATATTAAAAAAAATAAAGCTGCACTTGCCATTGATTTTTAATATTGCATAGCTGTGATCAGAAGGAATACAGTCAGGCCAGCCTGTAAGGTCAGAAATATTTAAACTCCACAATTACTAGTCAGGCCGGGACACCATTTCTATAACCAAACTGGTCTCAGATCAGTATTCATACAGCTCCTGACGTGACGAGATGGCCGTTATTGCTGGTTAATAAGCCGGTAACAGTTCACTGGGTGTTGGGTAAATTAAACAAGCTTGTTTTGAGGTAGCAAACTGAAAGGATCCGATTTATTCTTTTGAACAAACATAATTCGTATCTAATAACAGCTTTAGATATTGTGTTTTGACATTCTGCTTTATTTTGCTAAAATAAATACTTGATTTGTTTTTGGAAAAAAAAATTTTGACACAGGAATGACCTTTGGTAACTTTTGGTGCCCACTGCCTTTTAACATCCAATCCACGCTGTGATTGTGCAAATCTTGTTATAATGTTTAACTATCTATCTGTGAGTAAAGTCACACAAAAGTATGAGAGAACAAAGTAAACCGAATGGATAAAAGAACGGAAATGCAAACATCAGTAACTTTACATGTACAGAGGGGATAAAAACTCAACACATGGGAGTGGGCTGTGGACATTTTAATTCATACAATATGACACCGACTTCCCTTGGCACACGTTTGGCTCGAGACTCATTCCTTCAGTTTGCTTTCAAGAAAATCCCGAACCTTGTTCATTTTCTCCTCCTGCTGATCCAGGAGATCCATGATGACGCCCATGGGGGTCTTCTTCAGCCCGACACTCTGAATATTGTTCTCCAGTCTGTTCTTCATGTTGCGCAGTCTCAGAGAGGCGTGGATCAGAATCACTACAGGAAACACAACGGCAATGTATTTATACTATGTGGCGATTATGACATAAATTCTAGTGTCTGAAACTTATTGGATGATTTTCTCCGGAATACAATCTCGGGAAATAAGAAAAACTAAATGTGATACTGTTGCAACTCAGACGTTAAAGCAGGTGTAAAGATCGGCGCGTCTTTTATTCCCATGGCAGGCAGATACTGAATGCATGACATCAGACAGTAAATGTAGTCCTGTCCAAATCAACAACCCCTAGCAACCCGTCAACACAGGCAGCAGTGGGCCGGCCTCCTGGAAGCCGATCAAGCCGCCTCATCTATCTGCCACGATGTTAAAGCTGCTATTTTGCTACAACGATCCAAACCATCAATTATCGAGACCACTCCGCCGACTGCCTGACCCAAAATGTATTTAGAGATCCAAAACTATACCTCTGAACTACAGCATACCTCGCCCTGTAATGCTGATTGTATTTTGCATTCTGTGTCATGAGTGAACGCATGCAGTACTGTACATGCTGTTCTATCCCTAGAGTGAGTCAGAATGAGAGAGCGCTTGGAAAAAGCCTGTTCACCCACAGAGAAACCTCAGTTATGCATCCCTGTGTGACTCACTATCCCCAATTACAGTTTATCATACATTTGCCAACAAGTGTTTGCAATATAGTGTGGGGGATCACAAGTTAAAATTGTAATTAGATTAAAGCAAGCACTAGATTAGCGTTACGTGTCTATAGTTTAGCAGGTCAAAACCATACAGGAGAGGTAATGGCAACAACGTCAAACTTGAATGTTCATTATTGCTGTTGGAAAAGCAGTTCAAAGTTATATGTGACTAAAAGTCTATCTTCATGTTTTTAAAGTCTCTGAAGTGCATTAATTTCACACTTGGTGGACAGTAAATGTAGCGTAATATACGGCATATAGGAAGGGATCTCTAACACAGCCTTAATCTGACTGAATTCTTCATTCCCTTTTTTGAAAGTAAACAAGAAAACCCTGTGACTTACACAGCAATGGGAAGGTGATTCCAAAGATGAAGACCATGACGCCACCACACAGCGACAGCAGAAAGTAACTGGTGACCATGACCACAATGATGAACAGAGTGGGGTTCTTCCTTTTGAAGTTCTTGACCATGACCTGGTTCTCTCCTGCCCACACTGAAACCATGAAGACGAGAGACACCACAGCTCCTCCCAGAAACATGCCGAATGGGTTCAGGAACCTGCATGTTGGAAGATGAAAGTGGCCTTTTGTACATGTTCTCCAGTGAGTGAAGGCTTAGTATTAAATAGCACAACCTGGTGGTAATAACAACAACAGCCAGCATCCTGGCCAGCTTGTCTAAACCATAAAATGACGGATGCCTGCAGAAAAGGCCTATACTCATGACTAGATCCTATTGAAAGAAAACTACCAAACCAGTTTGACACATGTAAAATCATGTGACTGTAGCATCAGTAGAATTGGATTTTCAGAAACATCCAAAATCCTAGCGAGTAACGTACAGTTTAAAATAAACAGAGGATCTGTACATTTCGTTTATAATATGAAGCATTTGCACACATTTTAAGCTAGCTACAGCGTCGCCACTGACAGTTGCTATTACGGAATACGAAGGTATTCAATAAGAAAACGTCTAACTAGCTTAACTGCTACAGGCCAAGAAAGCTAAAGTTAATTAAATGTCTAACTGTAAGAGGCAGCGAAAGTGTTACAAAGGCACAACAATACCAAACGTTACAGAAATAGCCTGTGCCGTCATGTTAGGTGTGGACAAACAGGTATGCAGGCTAAGTAAACACAGCCACATATGCTATAGCTTGCCTCCGTTAGCATGCTAGCTAGGACTCACCCTACAATGAGGAAGACCACCACAGCTGCTGCGAAATAATTCGTCTGGTAGTACAGCAAGTTACTGATCACTCTGTTGTTCCACTTTGTTAAATCTCCGAACTCGGGTTTGGCGAACCGGTCCACTCCGGGGTAGAAATCATCCCACGGCCTGAGGGGCGCGAGCTCCATCTTGGCTGCCATCGTCTTCTTCAACGTCTGGCGTAGCAACGCACGAACACAAACATATAGCCACACGCACTGCGTAATATTTTGACAGGCCAGCTGATCGCACCGACTGAGCCCCGGAAGGAGGGGAGTCAAATTACAAGCTTCGTGCTCTCGCTCAAGATCTCGCGAGAGTTCGGATTCTCGAAGAAGTGTTTTTGCGAGTTTTACAGTTGCGTCCTAGAATGCGCAGCAGCATCTGTAAATACAAAAAGGTGCGTTTAGCATTATAACAACATCTAAAAGAGACGAATAGACAATGTACGTTTTTAAATAACAATGTAGACAGTAAAAGAAACCTCCACAGGGGTTATTGATATAATACAATATGATACAAATACTAATTCCCTCCATCTGTCTGTTGTCACCTGTCTGACCCTCATCTACCTGCATATCTTTTATTGTTGTTTAGCTGTGTCGGACTGATTTATATATTTAACATATTCTGCTGCATACTTTTATGTTTTGTGCCTCTGGCATATTTAGTGTCTAACAATGCAGCATACTATTGTCTTCAGTCCATGTTCTTATTTAACATAGTTATCCCTCATTCTGTTTGCTTTGTGTGTGTTGATTTGAGAGCCTTTGTTCTTGCATGTCTTGTTAGTACTTGACAATGTACTATACGAGTCTCCTGAATTATGATACTACTTATATTAATATTCTCACTTCTTTCATTGTTTCTGCACGCATTGTAAAGTGTCAATATTGCATAACTTTGTAAATGTAATCTTCTATTCTGTTTTTAGGTTTACTTTGTAACATCTGCTTTGGGACTACAGATGAAAAATAGCGCTAACTCTGGCGCATTTACAGCAATGTTTTTATTAATGTCCACTATCCCTTATCAAATAAACCAATAAATAAATAACATATAGACCGATTGTTTTTTTGTCAAAAGAAAATTCATGAGTTCGAATTTCTTTCAGGAAAATTGTTTATCTTTAAATGTGTGTGAATCCTAAAATCAAAACTGAGAAAAATGCAATGAAAGAAATATGAATAATGAACACAGCAATTTCTTGCCCACCTTTTCTTGTGAGAAATGTGGCACTGTTTCTTCTATTTACATATAAACTGATATTCAGTGTGTCTTCTATACATTTACATATAATCTGATACGACACTTCCACCATTCATGGCCAAAGGTTGGGTGAGGAGAAGATTGAGTAAAAATATATTAGCCCTGTATGGGCACTTGGCGCTGCTGGGTGCAGCTTTGACGCTCATGAAACACAGGAGACACAATCGGGGAAATGGGACCGTGAAAGTATGGCGGATGCCGAGGAGCCGTAAGTCCCAATGGATGACAAAATATGATTTTTAAACCGGTGCATTTGATCGCTAACTCGGCATGCTTGAACCCTGTTTTACTCTCTTCTTCCAGGGAGAAGAAAAGACGGCGAATAGAGGACGTGACCGAGAAGTTAGTGACGAATGCTAAATAAAGGTCTCTGACTGGCAGCAGGTTTGCGTTGCACTCTGAGCAGCGACTGCTGGACCAGGAGAGACACGAAAATAAACATTAACTCAATAACCCAGTTAGCTATTTGTACAATTCATCCGTTTACACAGAGTATCCATTCACAGTATCACACACAATGCAAAGACCCTGCACTGCACCAACCTGCAGGCTCCATACGAGACAAATCCGGAATGGCCAGCACATTGCAGCTGTGTACATTAACACTTCCACACTAACGTTTCATACTAATCCTAAACAGGGTTTGAGGTTATGTTGTGTGTATCATATTTGAAGAGTGACAACCAAGTAAACTCAAATAAATCGGTAATGTATAAACTTCACCCATGAATGAGATGCACACTAATGTCCCACAATGTACAAAGAAAGAATAGAGGAACTACTTTCAGCTGAAAACACAAGAAAGTTTAATAGACAGTGGCATTACAAATTTGCATTTTAGTGTGTGATGGGGCATGCATAGTGCAATTTGATATTGGTATGAAACACTAGACTACACACAGTATATTGATTCGTTATATTCTAGCTGCTAAACAAAACAGTATACTTTAAAGATTACTATATAGCACATATGCTATATAGTTAGTATGGAATAGTGACGAGGCCCATTTGTATGAAGAGTCTCTGGAAAGTCTGGTTTCCTGATGACACATTTGCTGCACTGCCATCAGTTAGTCACATCTTTTTTTGCCTTTGTATGAAAAAGTCATTTCTATTGTATGTTTACTGAGTGCATGTCTATGATATGTGAGATGTTTAAATTAAGAGTGATTTTCCTCTTACACTGTTTGTTTTGAAAATCTTTTACAGGCTACAAGAAGAAAATATTACAGAACAGTCATAAAACGAATCCTCTGTGTTGCTGAATGATTATTATTATTATTCCGAATGTTATTCCTACATAGCTAATCTTTTTTGTGGCCCCTTAAATCCATCTCTCAACCCCTTGTGGGGGTCCTGACTAACAGCTTGTGAAATCACTATGTTGTGTAATCTCAAGAGATTAGTAAAGACGCACCATTATCACCAAAATAAGATCAAATCCAGATGATGTTGATTTATGACCAACTGAGAGTGTTTGCAGGTGGCTGGTTTACCATAAATCAGTGATCAATAGCAGTTTAGTTCCTGTAATTTACTAGAATGGATGCTTTTTCATCTGTGTTTACGTATTTATTAATCCCTATCAATGTTATTAACACAGCAAACATTTTCTTTCATTGCCTTCTTCACACAACTTTCCGGAAATGAAATATGCTTATAATATGGGATACATGGCATTAATAGAGGGATAAGTAGGGAGAAATGTACTAATGTAAGTCATGGTACTGGTTCAGTACATCATGGTGTGTTTTCTTTCCAGAATGGCTGTAGATGGTGGACACAGGGACGGTGGTTGCGACTGGGATGGCCGGTGGAATCATGTGACGAAGTTTCTGGAGAGACCTGGCCCGTTCACCCATCCTGACTTTGAGCCAAGCACTGAGGTAAAAGTCAGGAATACTTTAATGGAAACAGAGAGCGTTCTTCTCACGTGTTAAACTGAAACAGTCTAGTGCGATAAAGCTCGCAGCTTCACACTGTCCTGTGATAGTGATATTTCAAATCCCAGTGCATTCTTATTCTTTTAATAATGTGTTTCTTTCATCTCAGTCTCTACAGTTCTTGTTGGAGACGTGCAAGATTCTGGTCATTGGAGCAGGAGGGCTTGGATGTGAACTCCTCAAAAATCTGGTAGGAAATAGCGTTTCTCTGTGTTTAATTCATGTACCGCTGAAATATAAGCTGAGCAAACAAACTCTATTTAGATAAGTTCTCACACAGGCTTGTTGTGCTTTAGGCCCTGTCTGGGTTTCGCCTCATTCATGTGGTTGACATGGACACCATTGATTTGTCAAACCTCAACAGGCAGTTTCTTTTCAGGTAGGTTTCACCTCTATTTTATTCTCCTCGTCGTAGTTTTCACAGTAGTTTAAAATTTGAGAAATAAAAAACAACATTCTTATAATTTTCCCGTTGATTATTTACGTAATGCTTATCAAAGAACATAGTGTGATGTAGTAGTCTGTTCCAGTGCGATCAAATCAGATTACATTCAGCATCTATGTCCTACATGCATTAACTGCTGTATGCATTCATTCAGGCCCAAAGATGTTGGGCGACCAAAGGCAGAAGTGGCTGCCAACTTCATCAATAGTCGTATCCCTGGATGTAAAGTTGTCCCGTATCCTTTGCAGCAACAGTTTTTACAGCTGAAAAGTTTTAGTTTACAGTGTAAAAAAAATATCTTGACCGCGATTTATTTTCCTCATTAATAACACGCAGTCACTTTAAAAGGATACAACACTTTGATGAGTCTTTCTACAGGCGTAAGTGTTTTTCTTACAAGATCCATGCATCAGCGGAGCTTCCCAAGTAAGCGCCTCAGATGTTTCAAATGCTCATCTCTTTGCAGAGTTCCACATCATCGTCTGCGGACTGGACTCCATCATTGCCAGACGCTGGATGAACGGGATGCTGGTAGGAGACAGAGATTTGAGTGTTGTGTTCGCTTGGTATACCTGTGCATAGTAGGAGGGTATAAGTTGTGTGATTGACGTTGCTTTCTCTAGATATCCCTCCTGAGCTATGAAGACGGAGTCCTGGACCCCAGCTCCATCATCCCTCTCATTGATGGAGGAACAGAGGGCTTTAAAGGAAACGCTCGTGTCATTCTCCCCGGCATGACGGCATGCATCGACTGCACATTGGAGCTGTACCCGCCACAGGTCACTTTTCAACCGCAATTTATCTTCTAGTTTCACTTCAAAGATTCATATAAATACAGTAAACATCAGATATTATGTTGTTAAAGCATGAATGGTAGTTAATCGACCTATTAACTTCTTGCAAAAGCTTTTACATCTGCTGATCAGCTTGTCTTTTGGGTGGGAGAAAGAAATCTGTGGTGCTCAGAAGCGGCTGTTTCACATTTCCATCTGCAGCAACAGCTGTTTGGGTCATCAACATAAGCTACCAGATTAGCTACCCGACTGAGCAGAAAAATAACCGGCAACAGAACATTTAGGGGAAAACGTGTTGAATACAGACTGGTGAAGTGCAAAAGCAGCACAGCAGTGACTTTTATTTTGCAACACAGATTTTGCCAAAACACATAAAAAGAAATGATGAAAATAAAATTAAGTACACATTTCATGGACAAATCTTTTCATGAAGTGCTTCAAGCTTTGATTTTACAGTTTTGACATTGTATATATCCGCATGCTTGACCCTAATTTTACTCTCCACAGATTAATTTCCCCATGTGCACCATTGCCTCAATGCCGAGGCTACCAGAACACTGCGTTGAATATGCCAGAATCTTACAGTGGCCCAAAGAAAAACCATTTGGAGGTAAGCTAAATTACTTTAACACATCCGACCACATTACCTAACCTTCTGCCTGTGTACATTATTACGATAAAGGATAACCACAAGGGTCTTTTTCTCAACTAGAAACCGGCTTAGATGGAGACAATCCGGAGCACATCCAGTGGGTGTTTGACAGAGCCCAAGAAAGAGCTGCGGAGTTTAACATTACAGGAGTGACATACCGACTCACTCAAGGTGAACTTGCGAATTAAAAGGCAATAATTCATTCAACACTAATGTAGTATGTCAATTAGTTTTGTTTTCCGATAACCTTTTCATCACCTCTCATGTTCACAAGTATCTATGAATGAAACCGGTGACTGTTTTTTTTTGCCGCAGGAGTTGTGAAGAGGATCATTCCTGCCGTGGCATCAACTAATGCTGTTATTGCTGGTATGACACTCCCATGTTTTTGAGGCAGTAGCTGTGGCTGTTCAGAGATGTTGACAAGAATGGAAGTATTTAAAACATTTCAGTTACATCTTTGCGGAAATGTCAAAAGCGGTAGCTTTTATTTACTGACTATTTTATGTCATTGATCGGCCAATCAGAGGCAGAGTAGTGCAGGTCGTGCCATAGTATGAGAAAAAAAATATTGCATTCTGAATAATAATTCGCTATGTGCCTCTGTTTGTTGAATTTGTCGGAGCAATAGGCCTTTGTAACAATGGGCGTTTCTTTTCAGGATGATCAGCTGTAGGACTAATTAGTTTTTGGTCCAATGGGACATTTTTCTGACTATTGAGGTTTTGGAATAATGGGCCAGAACAATGACATGGCACCGGCAGAGGTACCGATCTGAGGGAACACGGGACTGAGGGAACATAGACACGCTCCCGACTGTCACTAGTGGATTTTATCAGCTTCAGCTAGCTAGCTAGTTAACATGATTTAATAGGGCAATTGCTGTTTGGTAGAGGAGTTTATTATACATGGTACTTAAACAATTGTACAATTCACTTAATTTCCATTTTACCGGGGCGGCAGGCAAAGATGGGGATCGAGGCGTGCCGACCCCTGGCATCGCTGACTGGCTCTAGGGACGTTGAATGTCACCTCTCTGGCAGGGAATGAACCGGAGCTGGTGCGGGAGTTGGAGTGGTACCAACTAGATGGGAAAATGGTGGATTGCACCCTCAAGACAGAAGATGGTAGTCAGTTACTGCCCCAATCAAGGGAGTTCACGTATCTCGGGGTCTTGATCAAGAGCGAGGGTAAAATGGAGCAGCAGTGATAAGGGCGTTGTACGTTCTTACCCTCACCCATGGTCATAAGCTTTGGGTAGTGACCGAAAGAATCACAAATACAAGCTTCCTTCGTAGGGTGTCTGGGCTCAGCCTTAGAGAAGAGGCGAGGAGCTCAGACATCCGGAGGGAAGTGGAAGTAGAGTAGCTGCTCCTTCGCGTCGAAAAGCAGAGGTGGTTCGGGCATCTGACCAGGATGCCTCCTGGACGCCTTTTTTTAAAAGTCAAACTGGTTAGAGTCCCCTGGGTAGACCCAGAACTCACTGGGGGAATTCTATATCTCATCTGGCCTGGGAACGCCTTTGGGTTCCCCAGGAAGAGCTGGAAAGCGTTGCTGGAGAGAGGGACGTCTGGAATACCCTACTGAGCCTGCTGCCACCGCAACCCGGCCAAAGATAAGAAGTAGCAAATGAATGAATGAATGGATGGACGGCTGGACGGATGGATGGATGGATGAATGGATGGACGTAACTAGACTTAATTTTGTCTTTGTTCTCCATAGCTGCCTGTGCCACTGAAGTTTTTAAAATTGCAACAAGGTTAGGAGCAAATGACAAGTCTTCATTTCTCATCTAAATTGATTTGTCAAATGAACATTACTTAGCATCCAATTTTTATTTTGTAGTGCGTATATTCCTTTAAACAATTACCTGGTCTTCAATGACGTGGATGGACTGTACACCTACACTTTTGAAGCTGAACGAAAGGTATGTTAAGCCCTAATTGTTTTTAACCATAACCGTCCTGTCAGCAGTGAAATGTACATTTCTCCATACAGAGAATAACCACTTTACATCATCTTTGATCGGCAGGAAAATTGTTCAGCTTGCAGCCAGGTGCCTCAGGATCTCCAGTTCCCTTCTTCTGCCAGACTACAGGAGGTTTTAGAGTACCTTACAGAGAACGCCTCTCTGTGAGCATTCAGAAAACAATATTTTGTAATGCGTCTTCTGCAAATATAATGACTATGTTCAAATTGTGTATGAATGGTTTTTTCAGACAAATGAAATCCCCGGCTATCACCACAACTCTGGAAGGGAAGAATAAGACGCTGTATTTGCAGGTAATATACAATAGCCTATTTAGTGTTTGAATGCTGCACGGTGTTTGTTCACCCACATTTCATAATAAGCTACGATTAAACTACGATTACATTTTTATTCCAGTCTGTTAAGTCCATCGAGGAGCGAACAAGGCCAAACCTCTGCAAGACTTTGAAAGGTAACAAGAAGCACTACTCCAATCATTCTCAGTCTGTCCAGTGACCTGAAGCCACTGACTTTCATGATAACATCATATTTAATGTTTTTTTTTCCCCCTGATGCAGAGCTGGGCTTGTCGGATGGACAGGAACTGGCTGTGGCCGACGTCACCACGCCTCAGACGGTTCTCTTCAAGCTCAATTTCACCACCTGAACATTCATTACGAAGCTGAGGTCAGAATGCATCTGAATGCAAACTGATGTTGCAGGAGCACTTTTGATATGATAATGTAAATAAGATGATTGGACTGGTTGTCATATGAATATAAAATCCTTTAACCACATTTTTTTTTTATTGGTCACGGTTACTTCTCGATTTATTTCTCTGTTTTGACTTCTATTATAGCTATATCCAATGTCAATCAAATGAGAGTAATGATGTGCACTATGCTCTAATAAAGTTTTATTATCATGGTTGTAAAAAGAAAAAGTCTCTTTTTAAAAGATTTTTTTGTCATCTGTCTTCAATTAGAAGCAACTGGGCCGCTTAAATGTTTATCTTTAAGAACTTAAAATGTATTAAAAGCAGCTGGCTTACAGCCACAGCACATACATTGTTTTTAAAACATTGGTTCCTTGAAAGGAAATGTATTAAGATTAGAATAACTGATGGATGTTTTATTTGTTGAAATAAAAAATGTTTTATGTCACAGACTGGGGAAGTAGTCTCAATCCTCTACCTCTTGGTTAATAAGCACATTTCCCAAATTGTCAAACTTTTTCTTTAATATCGATCGCTGAGCAATTAAAAATATGTTGGAAATGATTATTGTACTTTTCTAGTGAGATCAAATTGAATAGTTATGCCCCATGCGTCTTTATTGGCTTGCAAATGAAGCAAACAAACAAATGTGAAATCTCACCGTTGCTGTGTTTGGCGAAGTGACAGCATTTCAAATATGAGCTCAAAGAAAACGCATCCAATAGCTGGTGAGAAGGGATCATGACTTGGCCTTCAGATGCAGTTGATATCCTCTGTCCGCTGTGTGACAGGATGTCGATACTCACTTTAAGCTTCTTAGGGCGCTAATGAAAGTGGCCGCATATTGTCCGGGGGACAGATGGTTTCTGTCTTGATTAAGTTTTAATTATCCTTACGGGAAAAGCTGGCGGGGCTTTGCACGCTGGAGTGTTGCGTTCACAGAACAACATATTTCTCTCACATCACATCCTGCCTGAAAGGTATAGTGTCTCCAGGCAGAGGAGCTGAAGTGTGAAAGTGCAGGTTTTCACTGAGCTGACGTGTTGACTGTTACTGTTACAGCTAGGGCGCGTTATTTAGCAACAGGCAGGCGGTCTCGCGACCCCCCCCCCCCCCCCCCGCTCTTACTCTGGATTAAGGAAGAAAACTTTTGAAACTGGAGGATCATATCTGCTGCAAACTTTTGCATCCTTGCTGAAAGGATCATTATATATATATATAGTGTGCATGATGCGAATCCAAAAACAGTTGGAGGCTACTGCAGCGGCTCATCATGCATATCAATAACCCGAGCAGAGGTAAGAGGTCGAATATGTAAAGTACACTTATTAAATGTTAAAGGTTCTTGAATGTAGGGAGTTGCTGCTTTTTCTCAGTTTTACATAATTGTCTTTGGACTCTGGGAAAATAGTACAGGACATTTATTTTATTAACTTTATAATATATATTTTTTACTATTGAAAATAATCTGCGGATTAATTTATAATCTCCATTATGTTTCACTTCATTTCATCTTTTTCCTGCATTAGTTATTGCTGTAATTTCAGATAAAAGTGTACATCCCAGTTTTTCTTTGACTTGGACTGGGGTTTAACTTTGAATGCAGACATGTTTACAGTTGAAGGGATAATCTGAGTCAGAACTGAGTGCAAGGACCCATCTGCTCCCAAAGTCCAGCCCCTGATCATTTATTTGATTTGCCTTGGTGAAGCTCAGTGATGTACGAGTCACAGTTGAGCAAATAGATGTAATGATCTTATGAACATCATGTCAAGATATATCAGACGCATTTAATATTTACTTTTTGATCACACACTTTAGGGAAACTATTGTCCTAAATCTGATGTAGTGTGCATTCCGGAAAAAAACTCAACACTGAATATAAAATGTTTTTTGCTTGAAAGAAGGAAAACAAACTTGAGTTAGCTGGAAAACAGATTTTGAGCTGAATTTCACTAGTATTTGGAAGTGCTGTGTGTCATAATAAGCTCAAAAGTAGTATATTTTTACTGAATAAGATGCATTTGCTGAAAACAAGTCCCTATATCTCACTGAAATGTTACTTGTTAAGTGATGGTGTCTAAGTGTTAAGAGATATTTTGACGAGGAATTAGACAAATACAGTTGGTAAGATTTGGCGTTTTTTGCAGTGCGTGAACCTCTTTGTCTGTGCAGGCGATATGAAGCTGAACATATTGGCTGGACCATTACACTGGGGCCTCCTGCTTCTTTGTATAGTAGGCTTGTGCAGCCAGCTTGTGTCCACTGGCAACCAAAGCTCCCGAGGACAGACAGGTAGGTGCGAGACCCAACCAGACCAGTCACACTCCCCTGAGGGACTCATTATGAATCATGGTCACCAGTATGGTCGCCTGGTAGAGAGCTCAGCTCAAGCAACAAGAACCTGAAATCCTATGCGTCTCATTAGAAACAGAAATCAGTATGGAGGACGTAGTTTTTCATGTTCACTCAGAGACTGGTAGTACAACAGATAATCCACAGAAACAAATATTTATCTTCATATGTTGTAAGAGGGATTTGATGGGCCATGATTTGCCACAGTATAATGTTACTGTAGGCTATATGGCATGCTGAACCTCTGCAGATACAGATTGATTCATTACAGCAGTGGTAGAAGAAGTATTAAGGTCCTTTACTTAAAGGTGCAACGTCAGAGATTAGGAGCAGTTAGCTTGCCTCTCAACGGCTCTCAACATGGCCATCGTCTCATTGCTAACGGCGCTAACAGTGCAAACTAGCCAAAGTGCTGAAAGAGCTAACAGTGTTTACCTGAGGACGATTCGGAGCGTGGGCACTACAGAGTTGCAGCCGTGAGCTAACCAGTGGGCGCTCACATGCACTAAAAGCAGGCGTGGCCAACAATGGCCATGTCAACACAGCAAGGAGAGACAATGCAACCCAAATTTATTTTCGGTAGCTTTTTTGTAAGGGGTCACAAGCTGGACATTTTGGGAACCACTGGTATAATCCATTATATTGTATTGTATTTTATAAGTATTTCCACTGTTTGGAATATATAATATTTTCAACTGAGATGTTGTAGAGTAGAAACATCAAGTGACATTAAATGGAAAAAAACTCTAAATTGTACTTAAGTACAGCATTTAAGTAAATGTACTGCCACGACCTCCAACATGACACCTAAGATTCGTCCTGATTTTGTTTAATTACATGTTTAATTTGTTTGCTTTGATTGTAGTCCAATTTGAAAGCCTACTTTAATTATGAATTGACCTTCCACTCCTGCAGGTGTAGCCAGTCATGCAGCCACACAGACACCTCAGTGCTATATTTGCAATATGCATACATGGGTTTTCTCACTTTACATTTTTATTTCAGCTTTGTTGCACCCATTCTATTGGAAGTTCAGGTTAAGTGTATCATCACAAACCATCAGCGGTGTAATAATCACCACAAGCAACATGCACTTCCTTTGTTTTTTATTGTTCAGTGAAATGATGCAGAAGCAGTTGTGGGACAGATATTTCTGTTCATGCTGTTTATTCGGGTCAATTCTCTTGGATTGCTGCTGATATGTTTTGACATTGGAATGTGTTTTTCCTTTACTGTGGCATGAGTGTTGATGCTTTTGTTCCACTTGGTGGTGCTGTAGCTTTAGAAACATACATTTATTTTGTCTTTGCTTATTTGGTCATCTCAATGAGTGTAACTACAATACTACTGTATTTATCAATTTTACATCTAATGTGAGTATAATTCTGCCATCTGTAGAGGCTGAAGTCACTCAAGGGGCCCCTTACTCTGTAAAAATGGTCATCTTATCCTCTAAATTCTCATCCACAGGGTCATTGCAGGAGAGGACAGGGACTTGTGAAGTGGTTGCTGCTCATCGTTGCTGCAATAAGAACAAGATTGAGGAACGCTCTCAAACAGTCAAGTGCTCCTGCTTCCCAGGACAGGTGGCGGGGACAACGAGGGCGTTGCCCTCTTGTGTCGAAGGTAATATTAGTGGGACCCTCTTCTACCTCTCTTGACCAGAAATATTCTGACATGACTGGAATATATTATTTGTAAAAGTAGACTCAGGTTTGTCAGTTTCACCACAATCCACTTAGGCTGGCAAGGACCAGAGAGTGGGACATCTGATCAAAATGTTTTTTCCAAACAAGTATTTTTTTGAAGTCCTTCCATCTAAAAAGTGACCTTCGGCTGTGGTATGTTTTTCTCAAGCATCCATTGTTCGTCAGAAGTGGTGGTGTAAAATGGCGCCGTGTCTGGAGGGGGAAGAGTGCCGAGTTCTCCCTGACCTCACTGGTTGGTCGTGCATCTCTGGGAACAAAGTAAAGACCACAAAGGTAAGGCCTGCATTAGTCTAAGTCACAGTTACACCAATACTGTACACAATACATAACACAAAAAGGCCTTAGTTAAAGGTATGGTATTTATAGACGCTTAAATGCAGTCATTCAAGAAATCTTCTTCTTTTTTATTGCATTACTCATGTGCAAAACAGGGGCCGACCGACTTGTGAATACTCAACATAAAACATTATATTTTTAATCTCTCCTTTGATGCTGAATGATTCCACAATCAAGCATAATCACTGCTCCCATTGGCCATATCGACACTCTTTCTCTCCGCCAGGCACAGTTGGCTCACAAAACCCAGTTTTATAATCTGGTGAATGATGGGGCCAAGAGGACAAACATGAAATAAGCTGTGAACTAATATCGAACAGTAAAACCCATGTCATTAAATCTGACGGCCAACGGAAAACCCACTGCATTTAGAAATGCACTTTCTTATAAGTTGCCTTTTTGTTGAACTGTTTCATGTATATAAGATTCCTGGGGGAAACATTTTACAGTGAAACAGTGGCAAGTTGTGTAGGATTTAGGGGTATCTATTGGCAGGAATGGAATATAATATTCAAGATTATGTCTTTATTAGTGTATAATTGGCTGGCTCTAGTGAGGGCCTTTGGCGTTTCCACGTTACCTGAAGGCCACCGTAGTTCTCCAACACGCTTGTAAAGGGAGGGGTCAGCAGAGGGGCAAGCAGAGGGGTTCTCAGTTGATTGCAATCTTCAACCTCACTTCTAGATCCCACTAAATCCTACACAGTGGACTTTTAAATAAAAGTGCAAGAATATACGCATTAAAATATACCAAGAATAAAAGTACTTATTATGCAGAATGCCCCATTTCAGAATTTGCATATTTTTGGATTATAATTATTGATGCATGTACATTATGTTAATGTTGTAGCTGGTAAAGGGGAAGCTAATTACTTTATATACTGAATACAAATGTATTATATCTCTGCCTTATTTTGCGTAAAATATATTGAAATAATCAATTAACAAAACCAGAGTTGTGAAATTTTGTACTTTCATATATTGTTGTTTTAGGTGGCGCGGTAGCACGACAGAAGCTCCATTTAATCAGCACAAGTCTGTCCCGGTCTGCTGCAGTCACCTCAACTAACTCTGGACTCTGAGGACACTGAAAGCCCATCAGATAGAGCAAAGAACAATATAGATTTAATTAGATATCTCCTTGCTGTGCTTTAAACTGCAGGAACTCATTATTTTAATTTCCATTTAGCTTGAACACAATTTTAGTTGGGGTTAATCCCATGGAGTGGACATTCTATTAGCAGCCGGTTTAAGATAAAATGACGCATCACCCTTTCGCCGTCCAAACAGGCAGCTCCTGCAAAGTCTGTATCTTTCTTTCAGCGCTTGATATGCTGGGCACATTGTGACGCACTCAATCAAAGTTTGGATGGGCCTGCTGGCAGACACTTAAAAAGAGATTTTGTGGATTTTCAGGAGGCAGAATGTGAATTCAGTCAGTTCATGACTGTCTCCGCTGATCAAAGCAGAAGACCACAAATACTAAGAAATTTATGATTATGTAGCATTTGTAAACAATGCTGTCCCGCAGACTTACTTTGAGCTTTGTAAAGAGGTCAGATCCCTTTGGACTACTCCTTACCACGAAGAGGCACTCTCCCAAACACACACACACACACACACACACACACACACACACACACACACACAGTTCTTTTCAACTCCACTGGTTGGACAGGCCACCACCTGCAAGGCTGTGATGGCATGCACACAAGCATGAAGCTCTGATGCAAAACAAGGACTGTTTGAAATGCTAATCATGGGGAGAAAGGGGAGAGAGGAGAAGACAAGCTTCTTCACTGCTGCGAGTATTTACATCATGCTTTTGTTTGTCTCTCTGTGGAGGAAACTCTGCTCATAGTAATGATAGGAAATATTGGAGATTCTCTGCCTTGAAGCAAATTGTAACCACTAACAGAACAGAGTATTTACTGTTATTACCATTTCATCAGTTGTTCTTATTACATGAATAATATTCCCCCACCCCGATTGCCTCTCTTTTATCTCTTGAGTTCAGTCACACACTTTGCATTTTACCTTTGCGATGAAGAGCTATTTTATAATAACACCAACGCAGTGACTGCAAATCATCCTGTCGGAGGCATCAGACTTGTATGAATGCCTCATGCTGTGCTAGTTGAAATCAGCTGAATTCTAAGCAGTTTATTCAACATTTACGCAACGCAATTATACATTATGGTTGTCTTGGGATCCTTCACTGAGCTGTCATGCAGTTCAAGTCACTTTATGCATGGCTTTGCTTTGTAAGATTTCAAGTTCTGATTGTCATTTAATGTTGGCAGTGTTGTGAATGTCAACAAAATCATGTCATTTTAAGATCCATATACTGATATTGAATGTGTTGGATATTTTAGAAAACCTCCCTTCTCTAAATCAATCCACTAAGATGGAGTTGTATGCCTCTGTTGAAGCTGATCACATAACAAATTGTGATTCTGTTCATGGGCTTTGTAACGTGTCATTGTGTATCTGTTTTTATAAACTCATCAGAAGCTTGTGATGCAGCTGACGACGGTATTATAAACACGATCTGACAAGATCAGTCAGGTAACGTATGAAGATGGTGGTTCAACATACTGTTTACAAAAGACCTCGGTGTATTCTATTTGAGTGCTGACTTTAAAATGGGTGGATGCAGGAATAGAGACTCTAATGTAATTCAATCCACGCCACAAACCACTGTGTGGCATCGAAATTACCTTAGATGTGAATGAACATCTCTCTGGCACAATACAAGCTTGAATAGGGCGCAGCTGTTGCACTTGAAGGAGTGCTACAATGACCTGTGTTGAAACCACGTTAACACAGTATTATTTCAGAACATACAGCTTTAAATTTTAACTGCGTAAATATTTTTTCAAGCAAACATGCAAAAAACATCATCTGGTTCCAGCATCTAAATTGTGATAAACTGCTTTTTTTAAATTCTTATGTGGTTTTTGAGCGTTGGTCAGACAAAATATGCAATCTGAAGCCATCACACTGGGATTCAGGAAATCATGATAGGCATTTTTTTTATTATTTTCTGACAATATTTAGATAGAATGTTTAAATCAGGAGCCTGCAGATAATAATCGTTAGTTGTTTTTCATAATTTGTGACATTTGATCTGGTTCAGTTTTGGCAGCTGAAGCTTGTACTGCAAGTTCAACTCAAGAGCGGGTTTGGCTTCTCCAGAAGTCCAACAGTAGTCTTATCCGCTATTCCTGCTCATTGAACCATTCATATTGTACAAAAATACAGAGCTCATTGAAGTTAAAGGTTCCAAGACTGTTCTTAAAATCTGAGTAGATCTGGACAAGAAAGCGTACGAAAGAAAAGGAACTCCTGGAGCTACATTTTCTCTCCGACTATACAGAAGCTGCAGAGACGATGAATCCACTGGGAATTGAACTGAATAGGGTGATGTGTGACTTACATATACCATCCTTACACTCACTTCTGTTTTTCACAAACATATTGCGATTTCAATTTTTGCTGCACACAGTATAAATAATGCACTTGTATATTGTTTGTAACCTTTATAGCCATATTTGTTCAAATAAGAGATTTTGTTTTCAAATTCTCAACAACAACTAACTTTCTGGGATAAAAGTTTGAAATAAGGTAAAAGTATTTTGCGCCCCAGTGGGATTTATGTCAACGATAACAGCAAGAATCCGCAAATTTGTGCCTATATTTCTAAAATACTATGCAGCAAGGAGCTGGTGTGACATTCATTAGGTGACTTTCAGATGTGTCCTAGATGGTTCATACCCACTCTTCAGCAAAGTTTAAGAAATCTTTCAACACTGCTTCATTATCTTTAAAATAACCTTAAAGCCAGTCAAAAGAGCTTTATCTCTGTTAGTCTGGAGAAATTGCGCAGAAACCCTCTGAGCAGCTGTCACAATACATGGCTTTAAAACAAAAATCATAGCCTGAATTCAAAATGAAGGCAGCCAAAGTAAGGTAATTAAGGTAGGAGTTAAGGGATTCTCCCTCTTAGCTTGAACATGTTGCACACAAGAAACATTCTTGACAGATGACACAATAACAGATGAACTGAAGACTAAATAAGTTCACAATTTTCTCCATTCCATCCACAAAATGAAACAGAAAAGTTGTTATTTACAAAGGCCGGAACAATTCTTTAGCTTTGAGTCTCGTACCTCAAACCGCCTCACAAATAACACATTTCTGGCAGCTTATTTGATATCAGTTTGCAGGTGATATGTGGTAGAGAACCTTCCCTCTCTTGTGAGTGTCTATTGGGGACAGTAGTTCATATTCACTAATAGAAAATAAACTGTCCTGGGGCACATGAAAAACATAATGAAAACGCTGTTCTATTCCCCTTTAACAACTTTTTCCTCACATGGAGTTGACACTTGTAATAAAAATGTAAACACAAATCTCCTTGTCTCTCTCTTTCTTTCTGTATTACTGTGTGTGTGTATTACTGTGTGTGTGTGTGTGTGTGTGTGTGTGTGTGTGTGTGTGTGTGTGTGTGCATGTGTGTGTGTGTGTGTGTCTGTGTCTCTGTGTGTGTGTGTGTGTGTGTGTGTGTGTGTGTGTGTGTGTGTGTGTGTGAGAACTAAATGAGCCTTCTTTTACTGCAGGCAACTATATAGGCGACTCAGAGCAATAGACTGAAAGTAGTTTGGTCATGGCTGAGGGGTTTCATCTATTTTATTTTGTCATTATGCATACATACTATCTAGAAAAGATATTACAGTGTTTTGCTTAATTAAAATAGAGAGCTGAACAATTTAACAAACAAACATTAATTGGATGATATTAATGTTAACAGCTGCGTGTGATGTATTCATATGCATTCATGCCTCATGGCTGCATGTTACACCAATGAAACAGACTGTTTGGTACAGAGAGGAGAGGGCAAAACTGCTCTGAGAATCAGATGTGTTACTTTGATATAGTATATTGTATTTCTGAAACAGGGTGAAAAAAGTGTAATGGATCACAGTGGAATTACTTTCCTCACCCAAGTGATAATAAGGTTGATTGCTATGAAGCTGCAGCAAACCATTTGTGGTTTTACTGTGTTATGTGCAGGACCATTTCTTTTTCTTCTTGGAGTCTTGTCAGTGTCGAGTTTCAGAGGTGCCGGAAGGCAGAATTTCTAACCTTTGGCCGGAATTAGGCTATATGTTTATGCCTGTTTCCTGTCTTAATGCTAAGCTAACCCTCCACTGACTACTTCAAAGTGATATTAATCCTCTAATCCAACTCTCAGCCAAAGAGCCAATGGCCACGTGTGTTTCCTAAAATGTCAAACTATTCATTTACAGATTAAAACAAGGAAGCGACAATAAAATGATCATGCTATTTTCTTTTAGATGGTTGAATCTTTTCCAGCTCCTCTGGGGCTCGGCCTCCACATCATTTTTCAGGGGTGGAAGTTACAAATTACATTTAGACCTAATCTCGTTACCAAGACTATACTATAAAAATGTGTCGGCATACTTTTTTGAGTATTTGTTAGTACTTTTAATCACAAGTATTGTAAATTGTGGTTTATGGCTATGATTAGCATTTTTGTACTTAGGCATAGTAAAAGAAAATCTGATTAAATGCCCCTCCCGGCCAAAATGCCAAGTGGCCCAAATCAAACGCACCCACGATCTGGAGTCACCAAGAGGTCTTGAGCATTTTAGCATTTAACCACACCCAACATGCACCATGCTGAAGTACTCACCTTGTGGCCTCCAGGTGATTTTATCTTCAGTGAGTTTTGTGAGGACCTTTTTGCAGTTTGTGGCCGTTGAGCCCTGATGAGACTGCAGAGCCTCATTCAGCCCAACATGTTTAATAACCTTTCGGAGCGCACTCCCGAGGCTGAGTGGACTGGTTATACTGGGACAGAAAGGTATAGAGGACTGCTTATATTACGCTTTGAGGATAAACGAGCAGAGAAGTGGAACCCCGGAGTACATTGTGGAGGACTTTGCGGTAACAAGACTTCCATCATAATGCGCTGTTCAGACAGGTGAGTACAATAACACACTCAGTTATTTGTTCTCACTGTACAGGTGAGAGCGTGACCTAAACTCTGTGTGTGGTTCGGACATAAAGGCTCTTGTTGCTGATGCTGTTCCACTAGTGTGTAGGTTGACATTTATTGCAATATATTTTGCAGCCTAAATGTGTCCTTGGATTCATATCATATTATCTTAAAACATCTAGAAGGCCTACTCTTTCCACATCCTTTCAATAGAGTGCTGTATTTCTCCCTCTTTCTAATCATATTCCCATGATCTAACAGTTGTGTATTTCTGCAGTATAACCACGTTTTGTGGTGACTTTCTTCCGCATTGTATCTTAAAAGTGAACCATGGATTTGTAAAAACATTTCTAAATTTCCTCAAGAAAAAGAAACCATCACTGTGCAACATTGTGCAAATCTGAGGCCAGAGTGGTGAGAGAGAAAATAACCTACAGCAAGACATCACAGTCAGGGAGAAGGATTGGACGCGAGTCGGTCGCTGCTCATTTCACGTCCTTCGCCTCAGAAGATGACGCTCACAATATGTCATTGTCTGAAACAAACAAATTAATAATCTCACACAGACAGTTTCTTGGTGCTGAGCACAATAGTGTCCCTATCTGTGTTTTATGGATAGACATCGTAAATAGGTGGAACCAGACTACTAGTCTGATTAAAGCTGTTAGTTTTCATTAGCAGTGCAATTTCAACTGATTTTTAGGTTTTTTAGAGACAAGATTTTCAGCTTTCCAATTCACCAATAATAAGAGCACAAAACCCACTTACTCAGCCTGGAGGCACTTCCATGCCATGGTAAGTCTGTTCATCTTTTCTACAAAGCTGAACCATTATACCAAACCTATTTTTGCATACCTGTAGTTATTGTGTACTTGATGCTGTGTTGTTCACAATAGCTTGACAAAATGCAGGGGGAGCTCATCTTTAATTCAAGGCAGTCTTTCCCACACAGAGATAAATCCTCTTCCCACTCATGAGAGGAAGAAGAAAAAGCTTCCAAGTATTAATTTCTCTATTCGGCAATTATTTAGCCTACCTATGTCGTCTTCAATTTCAGCCAAGGATTAAATTTAATGTTTCCGTTAGGCGTTTAGCTGATGCTCTTATACCCAGAGCAACACTCAGTTGCTCGAACGGATCTCTTCCACAATGCCAGCGTTCCACCCCACAACATATGGCTGACACACACTTGTCACATCCATTTCCAAACAATCACTTCAGGTTCACAGCAGGTCGCACCCTATTCAAGTTATCCCACCAGGGAACTTAACATTTTGTTGCATTTTGTCTTCACGGGGCAATGTGATTCTATTATGAAACCATTTTTAGCCCTCTGATTTAATTTTCTCTCTCACATTTGTCAGCACGAATATCTGTAAAAAACGTCCGTGCAAAGACACAACATGTCAGCTGAGTGCCTCGGCATCCGTCTGACATAACTTGATATAAGTCGGTGCAACAGACACTGTGCCGGTGTCATTGTAAATCTGTCTATGTTTGCTATGTATGATCAAGTTGTTATTCCTTTGTGGGGACCTAACGGCATGAAAGGCCTGGTGCTCTCTGCATGAATCATTTAGATGAAAGCTGAGGAGGAGGGGGGGGGAAAGGAGCATGAGGCACCTGGTGTCAACTTTAATTAGAATCCAGTTTGGTCGGCATTACCTTGACTTTAAAATCTGAGAATCCTGCAGGGGCGGCGGAGACAGTTCTCGGTTACAGGATGTGATTAGACTGGGTAATCTTGGCGATTGCTTGATACCACAGAAAACCACTGCAAAGAGGAGCTAATGGCTTTTATCTTAAGTGTTTTGTGTAAATTTGTGTATATGTTCCCCTTTGCAGCTTTTTGTATGTGTATCCAGTACAGATCTAGTATTCGTAAAAGCCATACAGTTCATTTTATACACAACACTACTAATAAAAAGGCATCTTGAGCATTGATCCTCTCTCAAGCAGATAATTACCGGTGTGTGTGGGGGATCTTTTTTTCCTCAAGAGGAGTTATTTCACACTATACACCTTATCATTATATCCTGTTGCTTTAAGTTGCACCTTGATATTCATAGAAACAGAGCAGCGACTTCCAAGTGCAGAGAATGGAGCATGACTAGACTGCCTGAGTGTTTTGAATGAAATGTGTCTTCTGAACAAACCCATGGGAGCCTCAATTCCCAGGACGTCCCTGGTGCATCATAAAAAGAAGTCAGGGCACATCACCATCACTTGTGTCTTATTTCTCACTGTTCTGCAGCTTGATGTGAGACATCAGAGCCTAAAGCGGCATGCCAGAGAACCACACTGAAGACTGACGGAAAATTAGATGCCTGCTCGCTGCAAATATTCTGCCCATTTAGCAATCCCATGTTGGACAGGAAACATTATTTCAAAGGCTTGTTTGAATTGCAAAAGCATTTTCTTTTATTCATGCAGCCATTTTTAGCAATTTAGTGCAATGGATGATGGACAGCGTGCTGTAATTGTCATCTCTGTGAGTGAGATAGTGTGCACCTTTTTGTGTCTCACCACAGCTGATTTCACATTCTGCTGCAGCAAACTGCTTTATATTTTGGGTGCCCAGTTATGGCTCAAGAACCGATACGGGCCGCTTGTGATAACACAGCTGAGTGCATTTCAGACCCAATGAAATGTTGTACACGTCTACTTCGAGCCGATTGCCTGCATGTGTCGTCTCTGGTTTTTGAGTTTGGATGAAGTGTGTTTTACAGCGCCTTACAGGCCGTTAGAGTCTCGATGGGGGTAAGCCAATTGTGGGTTGCATTCATTCAATCACACACAATACAGTGTTTTTTGCAGACACACCTGGCAGAGATCTGCACTCTATTGAGTGTGCCTTTCTAGGAGCTAACAGACAACACATGCAAGGCCAGAATCATAGAAACACTGAACACGTGCCATTCAGATGCCTGCTAATTCACTATTGATCGCTAATACAGCCTCACCTGGATTTCCAGTCCAATGTCCTCCTTCCTTCTCATTACAGCTGAACATGGTTGTCTCTCCTCATTAAAGTGTCTGAGTCAAATTCACCAATTCATGTGTATGGTAGTGAATGGGGATGACAATTGCAAGTTGACTCTATTGTCATGCAAATATCTTTAGCAAGGGTTTCATTGAGCCAAAGTCTCACCACACTTCCAGGTTTGCTTCTGTTCCACTTGCCACATACAAGAGCACTCACAACTCAAACTTATGGGAAAAGTCAAATTGTTTACGTTTTTTTTCCGGCTGTTATACAGCAGTAAGTTTGTCAGAGATATTTTTGTGACCACACAGATTTCTTCTGTAAGCCCAGAAAAAAATATATTTTTTTCCTGAGGTCAAAACCAACTTTTAAATCCAACATTGAGTGCAATGG